CTACACACCCAAACCCTAAACCCTAAACCCCTAAACCCTACACACCCAAACCCTAAACCCTAAACCCCTAAACCCTAAACCCCTAAACTCCTAAACCCCTGAACCCCTAAACCCCTAAATCCTAAACTCTTTAAACTTTAGACACGCCGCCAGGGTCTCCGGGTTCGAATCTCAACCTTAAGCCCTACATCAGCCTATGTCCCAAACCCCAGTTGACCACCGATGCCGCGGAACCCTAACCCCTATTTAGGGTTTAGGGCTCTTAGGGGTTTAGGGTCTTTAGGGGTTTAGGGTTTTGGGGTTTAGGGGTTTAGGGTTTAGGGGTTCAGGGTTTTGGGGTTTAGGGTTTAGGGTTTAGGCAGATCCTAGACCTCAAACCCCCCGGTACATGGTTAACCTCAATGTTACGAAGCCGAGCAAAGCCTTTAGCCTGATCTCCGCTTACAGCCTTTAGCACGCAAGCACCCCCAAAGGCTTCCAAAAAAAACACCGCAGGTGCCTCGACGTGTCTTCTTACTCAAGGTTTAGTGAGTGCGTATATGAAAAAGAGAGTGTGAATGATGATGACGCCGAGGATGACGATGGTCGTGAAGATGACGATGCTATTAAGCTAGCCCCTTTCAACTCATATGGGTAGATCTCCAAATTAGGGTCCCTTTTAGGGTCCTTTTCTTTTAAAGGTGCCGTACTATCTTGGGGACCTAAAAAGGGACCCTAATTTAGAGAACTACCCATATTCACCTTTGGATCAAGACTAGTTGTTGCAGCTTCAGTAAGATTCATCCTCTGATTGGGAGTAGCGGCAACACTCGCAGTGGCAGCAACAGCCACTGTCGCGAATGAGCCCTAAACCCTAAACCCCTAAACCCCTAAACCCTAAACCCTAAACCCTAAACCAAAGCGCTGCACTTTCAGGAAGGGAAGGATGGGTGGCCGCAAGTGGATGCCAAAGAAGCCACAAGCAAAGCATGAGCCTGAGCTTCTCGAGTCCTTAAAAGGGCCCAAGTATATAGGTACTCCGTTTTAGGGGTGGTAGTTCTGTAGATCTTTGTGGTCTTTTGGAGAGTGCATGATTACTAGGGTTTTCGGACCCTAGGTGGGAGTCCAAGAGTGATTCGATCCGTGCTGAACATGCTCAGTTGATGTCACGGCCCTGATTGCTACAGTTGTCCAACATCTGCGCGCAGGATCAGGAGACTTGGAAGGAAGTGTATACGTATATACATATATACACAGTATGTATATATATATACATATTTGTTTATTTATATTTATATTATATATATTTTTATATAAGAACTTATACATAGTTGATCCGACAAAAGTTGTAACGGCAACGCCCCTAGTATTTTCTTCTATTCCCACGTAGTACGGCCCCGCGATCCTCTCCGCAGGAGTTAACCCTGCGGGAAGACTTAGCGTGGTACCTGCTTTACAGCCCATTGAAAACCTAAACCCTGAGGGTTTAGGGTTTAGGGTTTTAGGGTTTACGGCTTAGGCCTTAAACCCTAAACCCTATAAACCCTATACCCTAAACCCTAAACCCTGCCTACTTGGCAGGTCTCTCCGAATTAGGGGAATCCCTTAAAGGGGACCCGTCTTAGCCCCACTCTTGGCCCTTTTTACAAGGGACCTTCTTGAGAGGGTCTATATCCCCAAGGTTCCCCCTAATCCTAACTCTTATTCAAGTTGTAGCGCTGGAAGTCCCTGTTTTCAGAAGCTCTCGGCTCAGTGGTTTGGGTTTATAGGGGTTAACTTAGTTCCCCAATGCCCAACCTTTATATAAACTTTTTGGGTTCTTATAATTTAGTAGTCATCTGAAAGTTTAACCTTTAAGTTCCTGGTTTATTGGGGAAGCAAGTTAAGGGGTATTAGGGTTTAGGGTTTAGGGCTCGTCTATCTGCTTGTAGAAGCCAGTAGACATGGAGAAATCTGACGAGAGTGAGCAGAGCATGTCCGCGGCAACGGCGACACTACGGCACATGGAGTATGTGGTCATGACTTTGGATCGCATGAACGAGCAGATGACCGACTTCCGTGGTATCAAGGCTTCTTAGTTCCGCAATAGCCAACCTTTAAACTTTTTGGGTTCTTATAATGTAGTAGCAATTTGAAAGTTTAACCTTTTATTTTCCCTGGCTTATTGGGGAAGTAAGGCTTCCCTAGCAAGGATTGAAAGGAGCCTCCAGACCATACCACCCGACTCGGGGGGTCGCTTGCGCAGACCTTCGAATGACTCCCGGATGTCCATGACGTCTGCAGCCAGAGTGGAGGGCGAAGCGATGCAGAGCCCGAAGCCGGACTCGGATTCTTCCATATATGGGCTTGAAGCGGTTAGGGCCGAGGAGCTATGCGGCAGACGAAGGGGCAGCAAGAGGTCCACTCCAAGCCCCAAGGAAAAAGGTCCGAGAAAGCCTGCGGATGTGATCGGCCCACGGCAAGCCAGCTCGCCTGACTCTCGACCTCCTGAATCGAAGAAGAGTGGGCGGAAGCTGTCCAGATCTCTTTCCGCATCAGCCGTTCTTCCGGACCATGCGGTTGACAAAATCGTTCCAGAACCTCCTAAGAGCCTCTGTTGCCCAGTAGAGCGCTTTTGCCCTTTCTATTTTTGGGCCCCCTTATGAAAGCCGAATAGGAAAAAGGGTACCCTTTTTATTCAGCGGTCACTGGGGAACCTAGGAGCGTGATGCCAAGAGCTCCTACATCGCCGCCGGCGATGTGTCGGAGGAAGTCGCTGGACGACCTTCGGCAGTTTCACGATGCGGTCACTAGGTAGGCCTTTGGGACATTTTCTATTTTCCTTTATTGGGCTCAAGAGGGTCTTATTTACGAATATTTTTCAGAGGCTTTGAGATGCCAACCTACATAGGTGATAGCAACCCCCAGCTGGGTAGCCCCAGTCTCACGCCGGAATTCCACGGAGACAGCAACAGCCCTACCTCCTCTTGGATGGTTCCTGCTCTCGTTGGTCGGCATCTAGGTTCCCCAGTAGTACCCTTTTGCCTTCTTTCTTTGAAGTTCCCTTAATCAAACCAAAGAGTAGGAAAAAGGGTATCCTTATTAATAAGGGGCTACTGGGGAACCTAGGCATACTCGACTTCTTCGACGGCAAGAAATGGCGACACCTGGCACGCTGCATCCTCGGGATGCAGATTGTGGGTCTCATCGGTCTGGTAGCGGCCATGAGTACATGGACTGGTGATTTCGAGGACCTCGAGCCTCTGATCACAACGGTGCTTTACTTCTTTGGCGTTGTTGTGGGGGTGCTCAGCTTGCGGCGGAATAAGATCACATGCCTTCTGGGTCCGTCCGAGTACCTGATGGATGACTATGCACTCGAGTCGGACTTTCTGGCTGACTGGAGAAAGGTTTCCAAGGCACGGCTTTCTCAGATCAGCGGCTTTTTCGTCCTCATGGTGAGCTCGCGGGTGGGGGCTTTGTTTCTGACAGAAAAGGAAATCTTCGGGAGGTACAAGGATATCTTTGGCTTCGATGTTCTCACCGTGATCGCTTTTACTTCAATGGCGAGGTGCTACTGCACGGCTTGCTACTGCGTGCTGCATGTCACTGCTGGTTTGGAGCTGGCAGTGGACAGCTTCTTAGTAGTCAGAGTGGGCAACCTTTTACCTTTTCTTAGTTCCTCAATGCCCAACCTTTAAACTTTTTTGGTTCTTATAATTTAGTACTAATCTGAAAGTTTAACCTTTTTATTTCCCTGGCTTATTGGGGAAGTAAGTTTTGGGTTTAGGGTTTAGGGGTTGAAGGTTTAGGGTAAGACTCCTGATATAACCCCAAAAGTTAACCTTTAGTTCGCTGGGATACTGGACTAGTGAGGCTTTGCGTTGCGCTTCTTCAGCACGGGCGACATGGAGGCTGCAGTGATGAATTGGAACATTGTGCAAGCCACATTGCGACAGACTTCGTGCAAACTCAGCGACTTCCTGGTACTCCTAGCTTCGTCCTGCATGGGGTCATTAATCATTTTTGCATATCAGGTCGCTTCCCTGGCTCTATCTGGCGAAAGAGTGTCTAGGTAGGCCTTCGGGATATTTTATATTTTCCCTTATTGAGCTTAAGAGGATCTTATTTGCGAATATTTTTCAGAGGCTTTAAAGGGCCAACCAGGTGTCCATGGAGAACATCATCCAGTGGCTAGGGTGGCTGTACTCTCCCCTGATCCTGTTTCTCTATGTCCTGTCGACTGCAGCAGCCGTCACGGAGAAGGTCGATCGCTTAGCACCTCTTGTGAACTCCTGGTCCTTCGATGGTCGGGAGACCCTGGACGAATCGCGACAGTATGTGGTTTCATACATCTTGCATAGCCGCGCAGGTTTCTATGCTCGAGGTATCCGCATCTAGGTCCCTGAGTGGCACCCTTTTGCCCTTTTAATTTTAAGGCCCCCTTACTACACCGAATAGTAGGAAAAAGGGTACCCTTATTTTAAAGAGGCTTCCTGTTGAACCAAGGCATTACATCCGCGAACGTGCAGAAGCTTGTCTACTACTTCACAGCAGGGTCCTTCGGCCTCCTCACGAGACTATTGCAAAGCTAGCGTCAGTGGCCTTCCCTGGAGGTTCATGGGACTGAGTAAGTGAGGTTAGAGGTACCTTACTTGGGGCCAAAAGGAAGTTATAAGTACAGTTACCTTATTATTTATAACCCTAGTTACTAAGTCCCGTGATGAGCACGAAACTAATCTCCGTCGCATGTCTTCTCCGGCTTCTCCGCTTTCTGATGCTTGGGTTTAGGGCTTAGGGTTTAGGCTTTAAGGTTCCGAGTGCTTTGCTACTGGTACAGGCCCAGTAATATAGGGGGCTTGAATAATTGCCAATAATATTTTGGGGGTTCCTTATCACAACTATTGTATAATATAGCCCAAAACCCTATTCTAATTGTTAACCCCTATATTAATTGAACCCGCGCTTAGCTTAGGCATGTACAGAGAATCCTGTCTCAAACCTGGACTAAAGTCGTATCAGCCGAGAACTTTGTGCCAGCTTCGTTCGGCTCAATCCTGTTCTGCGGCAGTCGTTGTGTCTGCGGAGCAGGGTGCTTCCGGGCAACTGTGGCATTGTTGTCTTTACTGTTTCAGCTTCTCCAAAAGACAGGGTTTAGGGCTTAGGGTGGCTGGGCTGCCTGCATCAACTTCGTGACAATACTACCGGTGCCACGTGCTCCGCTGGCACACCGGGCTGGTTCGCTTGTTGCATAGCTGTACTTTTTTGATATAATACAGGTGCCTGAAGAATATTCTAGTTATGATTTTTCGTGTGTTATTGCTATTGTTAGTAGCATTTTCGTTCTATGCACTCACACTCAGTGTTTCCTTTGAGCTCGCAGCTAAGCAAGCATCATTCGTTTCTTGAGCTCCTCGCCCAAAGTGCGTTGGTGATCTATGAAAACGCAGGGGCCGCCCGACGGCACGCTTTATTAACCGCACCCTGTACTCGCTGCTTGGCGTGTGTCACCCCAAGTCATTCTCGAGGCCCCGTACTGCGAAGCACAAGGGGCCTTTGCTGAGCCCAAACCCATGTCCAGGAGACCCACTACCGTTGCATAAAGGAGTATACCTTAGGTGCTGAGTAGGTAACCTTTAACCTTTTGGGGCTTATATAAACCTACTATAACTCAAAAGGTTAACCTTTTTTGGGCTAAGGTACTTGGCCCCTAAGATACCCATACCTTAAGTTTGAGGGTTCGGAGGTAAGGTCTACTCCTTACCTAAAGGGGACGAGGTCTAAGTTTAATGGGGCTGAATATTGGGTTTTAGGTATGTTCCTTAGCTAAGTGGTGTTGGGCCCTCTAGATGCAGAGCTGGAGCCTTGCAAAAGGCCAACTTCAAAGCTTGTTTAAGACAGACCCAGAGAGCCCAATACCCCTTCATTAGGGAATATACTTTAAATCATAATATTATGGCCCCTATAATTTGAGGTATATTCCTTAATTGAGGGGAGTTGGGTTCTCTGGGGTAGCACGAATAGTTACAGATTCTATTCGTTAGGGTTCCTTTTGCACTTAACAGCGTGGTATACTCCGAAATCCTACTCAGTCATCAAGGGCCCCTAAATTTGAAGAACTTCCAGATGGTGGGTGCTCCTGCTGCATGGATGGGCCCAGGTTTTCCAAAAAGAGAGAGGTTATTGCCAAGGATTTTTAAGTAAGCTACCAGAATACGACACCATATTTTGAATATAGGTCCCATATATGATAACTTAAGAATTGAATTTTTGAACGAATTTTTGAACAGCAACCCAGCGGATGATCCTTGCATTTGTGAGCAGAAATGCTCCCGTGTGCTCGTTAGGCCGCGTGAGCGATAGGAAAGGTCTAACCCACCCTCTGCTTCCGGGAGCCTACTTGGAGGTTCATGCGATATAAGCACCTTAATTAGGGGGTTATAAGTAGTTATAAATATAGTTAACCTTATTTATAACCCTAGTTACTAAGTCCCGTGATCCCTTAAGTAAGAGCACGAACGCCCGAACCCCACTCCCCCAAGCATACTGTAATGAGGAGTCCAAGCGGGAGAACTGTTGGCGTCCACAGTTGCGTATTTACCCAGAGAGCCCAACACCCCTTAACTAAGAAATATGCCTTAAATTATGGGGGGCCTTGATATTATGATTTAGAGGCATATTCCTTAATTAAGGGCATTGGGCTCTCTGGGTACCATACCCTACTAACTTCTAAACGCTAAGCCCCTAAGCCCAAACTACTTGTTTGCCCATACAAAAAGGCTCCTGGAAGCCTAAGGCACGGGCGTGCAGGTGCCCCCGCTTGCCAGCATTTCAATCTTGTCCTCCGAATGAACCCTGCGATGCGGGCGCAGACCCCCGCCACATGAGCGGTCAAAAACACTGAAGTTGAAACTGCAAGTGGTCCGCTGTCTCGTTTTGGGGAGTATCAGGTGTGCAGTTTGCTTTCGGGGGCAGGTTTGAAAGGTTTGGGCAGATAAACCCTGAACTCGAACCACCTCGCGTTGCGTAGAGACTCGTCTGACACGTTCCCAAATGGGGGTTTCCGGAAATAGGGGACCCTAATATAGCACCCTAAACAGTAGGATCCGTATTATACAGACCCCAAAGTAAGGTGCCCTAGTTCTCGGAAACTCCCAAATCAAGCATGCGATAACGTGGTGCGCCCTGAGGCAGGTCTCTCGAAGAAGCAGCAAGCATCGCATGATTTTATCTCCGAAACATCAGCTACTTCCCGAAACCCTAAACGCTGATTCCCTAAACCCCGAAAAATCCGACCTTTAGGGTTTAGGGTTTAAGGT